GGAGTTTCTCCACTCTGGAAACTCCCGCAATGTCAGCTAAGTTGATAAATTCAATTGACTACACCAAAATGATGGCACATTTTATTACAACGAGAGGCTGAACGTGAAATTTTATCGCACTCAAGATGATAGATACGCTCAGGTCCTTCTCCTCAATTGAAATCTATTTTATATCATCGACACAGGGTATCAAATTGTATTGACAACCATATTGTGACACCTTCATTGTCCTCTGTGGGGGTGTTCCTCATTTTCCACCCTCTCTTGTGCGTCCCCGTGGACTGAGGGTGGAATACAAATGTTGTCTATACATAGCAGAAAAAGGTAAGCTTTGTCTTCAAGCACACAATCTGAGAGTATCGCCACGGACAGACTGCCGAAATGCCATTGAAGCGTGATTGTTTGAGGAATACCACGATAATTGAAATCACTCGCAATTCTGTCTACAATAAAATACTCAATGCTATGGAGGGCATGTAAAGTGATGCTTAAAAGAAAGGCAGATTTGTCAATACATAAAAGCTACATACAGGAAGTTTTTGTGTACAAATGAAAGCCAAAACATTTTCATTCGTAATTTGATTTAATATGTTTAGCAAACAATGTGAATGTGAAGAACAGGGGGTAAACACCGAATAGTTTATGCAATTTCCATGAATTGTATTTCAAATGTTTCGCCAGAAATAAAGTAATTTAATACCGAGGCGCTAAATTTCATCACTCAACTCTTTGAATTTATTAGATATTCTATACATTACACCCCTCGTTCGTGTGGTTTAAGGTGTGCGTGTTGTGAAATGGTGAGATAAATTTTGTGGCTTCTGCCACTTCGTCTGCAAATTTGTTGACAAATTCAATATCACATAGATGCCTCACATTTCAGGACAACAGACGTGTTTGATGTTCGGTGAGAAGACACATGAAAGGCGAGTGGAAAAACTGCAAAATGTTTACAAATCGATTCTATGCACGAAAACATGTTCACATTGATTTTTTCTTGGTCGGAAATTCTTCACTCTTTTCCGAGAACGGTGTCAAAATTTACAGCATAAACAGCCAATCAATCATATGATGAAGACTAATATTATTGGATGGAAAGCAGGCAATAGAAGACACGTCATACTCACACAAGTTCACCTGTTGAGTGGAATATATTCTCAAGGAATATTTTTTGGCTCAAGAACGTTCTCCTCTTGAAGAGGGATGTTTTTTCCACGGTGGTGTATTAAAATAATAAACAGCGAACACCGTACAATTTGATATTCACTGAGCACAAGGGTAAATAAATGTAGATGAGGAACCGCAAACAGGAAGACCTATAAGAGAATGGAAAATTGTTCCGGGTGGGTTTGGGATGATGGATTGGGAGGAGGAAGCAATTTTCTTCAGCTACTGATTCACACTCTAATTGGAAATTTCTTTTTCCTCCCGCAAAATCACACAACTTCCTCCACTTTGCCACATTTTTTCACTCTCTCTTTCTCTGTCTCGTTTTATTTATTCACCTTCAAAAGGAAAGTTTGTGTTGCTCCGTGAGCTTTTTTCCGGACACTTTACTCCCTCAACTCTGCAATTTGTGTCTCAATCACAATTTTTCGGCACCGGATATTGAAAGACAAATAAAAGGACGAACACGGTTCGCTGAAGCGCTCTCTGGATATTCAAACATGCGACTTGTGCGAAAGTTCGTGCGATACTGAGATGCGGGAAATTATCAACAACGCTCCAACACTCGGGCTGGCGTGTGTTGGGGAGCAGACAAAGAGAAGGCGCTCTGCGACGTGCAGACGGAGGGCCACCGCCCCCTCGAAGGGATGAAGCCTGCAAGCTTCACAGCGCTCCATTGACAAGGTACGCGCTTCTCTCTCGGACAAAATAGTCGCATTCACGGCAAAAGTTGCGATATGGCACACTTTTATGGTCCTCCACTTAATCCTAGAGAAAATTCCCTGAGGCCTGCCTCGGAGCACACCGATATGTGCTCATCAAAGTAATTGCCTCTCCGCCTCGACATCTTTGGATGCCCTTCGGCGAACAATGCTGACGCTATAAATAAAACCTCAAATTTGGTTTTAAAGGGTACACATCTCCGAGGTAATAAAGGTCATCGACATGCTATTGCCACGCAAATACACTAATTGTACACAAAATAGACACTGCGAGGTCTAAATTGATTATACAGTTTCGCATTTCGCATCGAACCAGGAATGATTGATTAACCTTGCCGATAGCACAGTCTCATCGATTGCTCATATATGCAAATGCGACCAAATTGAGATTACCCCTATTTATCCATGAAGCTCTTTCACCCTCCTCTTGTGTATTCATAACGTATCTTCCATAAATTGGCCAGTACCTGCAGCGATTTTCCCCCGAAAACTTGAACGTGATGTCTGTTTTGGTTTATCGATGCCATACATTGACAAAACGTTTAATGTTAAATTGTTTACCATATAAATATTGATTGTGAGATTGTCTTAGATGGAAATTCTCTTGTAAATTAAAAACTACAGTAATAAAAAGATTGACAATCAACTTAAGGAATCATATATTATATATTCCAATGATAACATGTACGATATTTATATATTTTTGTTACATCAATTATTCTAAATTACAATTAATGTTATGCATTTTCATCCATTTACATCATCCAACTATCATATCTGTTTCTCAAATTGATCTTAGAAATATTTCGCTCATGTATTGAGCGAATATTCCTTGAACTAGAAAAATCTCTTTTCATGTCGATGAAATCTCTCTTCGTGGAAATTATTCCGCAATGTTCATGCATTAAGAGGAAAGATAAGCCACTGTCACTTTGAACGAGCGACTCCTCGCAATAGAACACGGAATAATTGGAGAACTTCTCTGTTTGCAAAACGAGTAAAGAATTCCATTGAGCTTAATGTATCTCTCTGATACCCTAGATACCCTTTCAAATTTTGCATGCTGAATGGAAACTATTTGGATGGAATTTCGTCAGTCTCCGTATTCCATTCAAATGAGCGACGATTGAAGGCAACCGGCGAGGTTCCTAAATGGAGTGTCTATATCTTTGATGAAATAATTCCCACAGAATATCCCCTCAGAATGACGACGGTTACCCATACTTGGCTTGAGATATTTAGCGAAAATTTGCTCAAGGAATCAATTTGCCAGCAGCGACAACATCAGAGGAGATTGTATTTCCTTCCAGACTCTCTCTTGATTTATGTTGCTGTGTAACTTTACGGTCTCTTCTCAGCTTTTTATTGTTGTTCTCCACTCCCCCCCTGCACGTCCGAACTCCCGGCCAAGGAGTGTGCCTTGCTAATCCACGCACCCAGCGAGTGTGCTTGAGAAATGATGCCAAGCAAGGGATCCCATTGCGTTTCGGCGTGAATAAATCATTGGAGTCTGGGCAATAAAAGAAGATATCGCAGGACTGACGGAAATAATCGCACTTGAGGGTGTGAGATTTTTACGCCAATCAATCCCTCGGCTCTTATCTATGCCTCCCAACGCATACAAACTTTCTCTGGCAAACTTCTGCTCTTTGACAGAGGCGATACTTTACCATTTGCACTTCTCACAAAAGTTGAATGAGGAAAAAGTCTTGAGAAAAAATGTAAAGCATGATTGGGAAAAAATGTAATGACACATACTGAGAAAATCTTGGAAATTTCTAAAGAAAGTCTCCTCAACTCCCACTTGGCTGGTAGAATAGCTGGTATATAGAGAAAAGAATTACGCTTTCTCCACAATGTCATACATCGCAGAGTTATTTCGCCTGAATATTACCGAATGACCCTGACCTGACAGGGAAGTTCCTGATGAGTGACAGAAACATTCTTCCGCCCTCCCTTTTCAGCGTGAAACTCTGTGGCGGATATTCAATTTGCTTTGTTAATTAGGCAAAGGGATACACGCAATTTTGATTGAGGACGAGTGTAATGCGTTGATGATATGAGCTTCGCCGTCATTAAAATTCCGAGCAGGATGTCCTTTAGCAGATGTAATTAATGGTCCCGCCAGCAAGACAGACCCCATCATCCGGATCACTCTAAAATTCGGGCCTCGGGGGTGACGTGAATAAACATCTCAATGAGTGAGAATTAATTTTCCATCCTCATAGCGGGTGAGCGTATAAAATCTCATGAGTTCTAATGCCTAATCTCTTCTCTAAATAATTTACCGGGCCCACGTCAGAAATTTCATTTTCACTTTTTAATTAAAATTATTACATTCGAGGTATTTTCAGGTGGAGTCAAGCATCGAGAGTCTAAGACTTCCGCTAATTTTCTTGGGTCTAGCCATCCATAAACGACAGCATGAAGTGCAATTATGAATTCTTTATGAACTTTATCGACTTGCTTCAATCCACACTGAACTTCTTATCCCACTAAGAAGAATTTAATAGCTGAATAATAAGTGTGTATCCTCGATTGGTATTTTGAACCCGCAACTTCCACAATTCCCGCATTATCTCTCGTGAACTGACTCGGTCAAAATATTTGCATTCTTGAGTAAATTTTCAATTCGGAACTTCTCCAAATGTTGCCGCCTAAAGGAAAAAGAGAGCGAAAAGGTAGCGTATTTGATAAGAGACGCGGAAAGAAGGTCGCATGACGACAGGTGAGAGAAAAGGGCGTTTGCATTGTCACGCCAGCATAGATGATGGGTGGCGGCAATTGAATTAAAAATTCATTATCTCACTTAATTACCGGCTTTTTCCTCTTGTATCACCTCAGCATTATAATTAACCTGCTCTGGCTCAAGGAGACACAAATATTGGCTGCAAAGAGATGATGATACAGTCCCCTATGCTCGACCGGTTATCTCGGCTATATGTGAGACTCCGCGTGCGTATTATTTGTGTCTTCAGTATCAAATAAATTAACAATAAATCGGATTATGTGTTTAGTTAATTCACCTCCAAGTCTTCGACTATTCAATGCTCAATCAGTCGCTCTGAACCTGCGAACAGATCAACTTCCACTATCCATTCGCTGTGAAGAATGACGCTCTCGGAGATTTTTCAATTGAAGAGATTCTGGCTTATTCTGGGATTATTTGTGGTGATTCTGTTTGGGTGAGTGGAAAATTTTCCTCGTTATATTGTGATAAGACAAATTGAATCACAAAAGTTCAGTGTTAAGTTTCTCACGTTCAAGGAAAGAGTGATTCCTCAAGATTGTATTTCGCATCATATTTTTGCTTCTCTCTTGCAATTTTGCTGTGCACAAAATTCATTTACTTTCTGTAGTTCACACGAATACACTTCAATGCATGCAATCAAGTGAAAAATTGAGCATTTTTGCCCTTTAGAAAATCATCCTTTGTTCACCATTTGCACATTTTGCAAGCAAAGTGCACAGAATTTACCATGTGTGACTTCAAAACTTTCAGGGTTGTTGCAGTTTACTCGAAAAATTCTCACGACAATGTTTTCCCAGAAGACTTCCTCTTTGGATCCGCATCTGCTGCTTATCAGGTCGAAGGCTACTCGAAAGCTGATGGGAAAGGACCCAGTATTTGGGACGATTTAGTTGAGAATCACTTGGATTTGGTGGCTGACAACCGGAGTCCGGACTCAGGTCCCGACTCTTACAAATTCTACAAGGACGATGTCAGGATACTCAAGGAAATGGGAATGCAGATGTATCGTTTTTCCATCGCTTGGTCTCGAATCATGCCAACTGGAGATGTTTCGTCTCTGAACAATGCAGGTTTGCAGTACTATGACAATCTTGTGAATGAACTTATAGCAAACAATATCATCCCTGTTGTGACGATGTATCACTGGGATCACCCTAGAGAAATCCAAAAGCTAGGCGGGGCCCTAAACCCCATATTTGCAGACTATTTCAAAGAGTACGCGAGGGTGCTCTTCACCAGACTCGGAGATAGGGTTAAGTACTGGATAACAATCAATGAACCTAGCATTTTTTGCACCTACGCCTACACTACTGAGGACTGGGGAGCAGCTATCAATTTCACAGGTGGAGAATATTATTGTGCACACCATTTACTTATAGCCCATGCTAAAGTCTATCGAATGTACCAAGACGAGTTCTACTCCAAGCAAGGAGGAAAGGTCGGACTCAGTCTTCATACCCGAGGATATTTGCCCAAAAATCCCGACAGCGCTTCAGACAGGGAAGCAGCTAAGATAGGGTTTCTAACTGACATTGGATGGACTGCCCATCCTATCTTCTCAATAAGCGGTGGATATTCTTCTGTCTTAACAGAATTTGTCGCTGAAAAGAGCAAGAAAGAGGGCAGAGCCTGGTCCAGACTTCCTCACATGGATCACGAAACTGTGAAGCTCTTGAAAGGTACCGCCGATTTCTTGGGCTTGAACTACTACACAAGCAGATTGGTCGTGATGGATCCCAATCCTTTCAATGGTGTGGCTTTCGTTCTCAATGATACACGCATTATTCAGACACCAGCTCCGCATTGGCCACAAGCAAAATCGACATGGCTCTATTCAGCCCCAGAGGGATTTAGGCAGTTACTGAGATGGATCAAGAAAGAGTACAACAATCCTGATGTGATAATTACGGAGAATGGATGGTCGGATGACGGGCAGATGGAGGATGAGGAGCGGATTGAGTACTTGAGGCAGCACCTCACCGAGATTCTGGGCGCAATTAATCAGGATGGCTGCAACATTGTGGGGCACACGACGTGGAGTATACTGGATAATTTCGAGTGGATGCGCGGCTTTACGGAGAAGTTCGGCATTGTCAGCTGGGATGAGGAGACGAAAGAGAGGAGGCCCAAGAAGAGCGCCTCCTTCCTCAGGCAGGTCATCACAACTCGACAAATTCCGCAATAGAATGCCCGATTTATACCCACAAAACGGATGAATAAATGCTCAGTAACAATCTTACCCCGCCTCCGAAAGTCATGGGTTTTAATTTACATGAAATTGCTCTATAGGACTCCGCAACTGAGCGCCCTAATCGGATTGAATTCATGCCATCAACACAGTGGAAAATTGAAACAATGTAATTTCTGACCTACCTGCAACACTTGTTCGCCTCTTGTGCAAAATCGTGTTGGCTTCGGTGGCAATTACTTGCTCTTAATCCAATTGCCATCCACTTGCTGATACATTGCATAATTGAAAATGCAACTTATGCACTTAACCGGGCTGTGAAGTGTGCAGGAACCTCGGCTGACCAAGAGGATTAGCACTGTTGACACGTAGGCAATGTTGTCAGGCATTTTTAATGTGGACTTGTGATAAGGTATTTTTTGGGAAATGCAATGACTTCATTCTGTCAGTGAACTTTCAGAAGTGAAATGTGTGTTTTATCAATGTTTAATTAGAGGATTAGTCCGTACAAATTAAGACAATCTGGTTTTTTTTAGAAAATGAAAAATAAACTCGTAAAAAGAAATTCAAAATATCTTTTGAGGCATAAAATAACAAGATGCTCAAAAAATTGCTCTATCTCACACACTTTATCGCACTGGAACATAAATATTCATAAGATGGCTGGGAATTCTAGAAAAATCACCTCCGGAGTGTGTGCTTTTTCTGTTTGCACTTTTTTATCACTGTAATATACATATGTATATGTTTGCTTGCTTGTGATAAATCTCGTCAGCCATATAAATATCAATATTATTTAGTTTGCCTTAACTGGGCCACACATTCTTGAGAGGTTAAGTTCAAAAACACTGTCGGATATACACGTAAACATTGTCATATGATTAATTTACAACTTCCTGCAGTGTAATTTTTCTCCAGAAAGAAATTTTCATGACAAAACTGAATGGAATATTCCACATTTTCTGGGGAAATGATTTAATGTGAAGGTTATTTATAGAGTTCCACTTACCTTTAGTATGTGACATTGGCTTGGAAGAAAGGTCATCAAAAATCACGATGCTTGCGCGAATGCTATGGAAATGCCATAGCGACAACTCCACTGGTCAGTTGAGCTTTTCCAAATACAACGCAGAATGCTATACTTTCGAAAATGCCACAGAGTGTGGTAGAACAGAGAAGAGAGATGGTGAATAAGCAGCATGCAATTAACTGAATAATTATTGTAATATTATGCAAATGTTCAAGATCGGAGTTTGGGAGAGACAAATTTATTTCACTATGATCGTAATATACATAAACTTGATAAATAACTTACAATACTCTTGAATAAATTCATTGTACATAATGTTAAATAGTCAGTCTATCCTATTCCACTGAGTTCACACGCATATTTTCACACTGTCGGCTGGAGTTCCTTATCATTGGCCTGAACATCGTCGTCCAGCACCTTGCCCTTGGTCTCCGGCACAACGAGAGCTATGAAGATGGCCCCGACGATGCAAAACGCGGCGAAGAGCCAGAGGCAGCCAAACAACTGGATGGTAGTCATCAAGATCGGCATCGCTTTTAAGATGACAAACGCAGAGATGCTTATCGTGACCAAACAGAAACTGGATCCAACAGCTCTTATCTGCAAAGGCAAATACATGCTCAGTGGCGCGTGTGTCTTCGTCTCACCTAAGCCGCGTGATTTACTTTCGAGGGGAGCACCTCGGCGAGCACGATGTAGGGGAGCGCCAGAATGCCCACCGACGAGATGTAGATAACCAGCGAGAGGGTCACCACGGGCACCCAGTCCAGGAAAGCTAAGGCGTAGCCCTGGAACTTGAAGAAGGAGTATGAACCCATCAGGATCAATCCAGTAGCAGCGCCGATCGACGATATCATAAGCAAGGTCTTCCGACCAGCGCGATCGACAAAGATGGTCGATGTGTAGGTCCCGAAGATTTGCACCATGCCCAGAACAATTGACGAAATGTTGGGATCAAGTTCTGATCCTGATTCCTTGAAGATGGTTGCGGTGTAGTTGACAAAAGCGAAGCAGCCACAGAACTGAGTCAGAAGCATAAGACCAATTCCGATGACAAAACCCTTCTTGGCAGCTGGAGTAGCTATAGCAGTACACAAAAATAAGATTAAACTGTGTACTGAAAATGCATCAGATGATTTATGGTCATGACGTTAATAAATGCATGGATTAATTCGTGTTAGAGACAGAAGGTCTTTGTTAATTCCCTGTTATCTGAATGATCGTTTTCCTGGGAAACTTACTGAAATCACTGAGTTGCAGTTTTTCCTCGCGACTTTGACTCTTCATCTGTTGTTCTCTAACACGCTCAAAGTCTTCCTTCATCTTTGTATCAGTTATGCCACTAGCGTTTTTGTAGAACTTAAAGGACGCCTCCGCATCTGCTACTCTGTTAGCTTTAAGGAGGCTGAGCGGGGTCTCTGGCAGAGAGATCACGCTCAACAGGAAGAATGCAGACAAACTGAGCATGAGGAAAGGAATGTAGCTATGATGAATGAAGGTTCCCGCAACATAACCGTTGAAGATGCCCATGCTGACGGCCAACGGTAGGATGGCACCTAGGCGACCACGAATACTGGGGTCAGCGATTTCGGCAACGAACAGAGGGACGACAATGTAGAGGCCGCCGCCCGTAGCGCCTGCGAAAAAGCGGGCCAAGTACAGGTGATACACGTAATCGGCAAAGATGACGCACAGCCAGAAACCGATGTGCGGAACAGCTAGCAACAAGATCGTTGTTTTGCGTCCGCATCTTGTGGCCAAACTACCGTACACGGCGCACCCAATAATCCCGCCAACGCAAAGCAGGGCGCCAATCCAGGATGCCTCATCGATGGAAATTTGGCCCGTGATCAAAGGTGACTCTTCGGACAGCAGGATGGGCAGGAAGGGTGAGAGCCATCCAACAGTGGAGCCATGTGCCAAACTAATAATGTTCACTAGAGGTTTGGGTAATGGCATCAATTAATTAATGGGAAAATCAAAGCCGATGGAAAATTGATTCCACGCCAGTGTGTTTGGAGACTCACCACAGAACACTGCCACAAATTGATGATTGATACTTGAAAAATTAATCAACTTCATCTTTCTCGCGCCCCACAATTCAATTTTCACAGCAAAGCCTTACAGAAAAAAAGATTCGGGAGCCAAAGAGGCAAATGGGAGTATACAGTATAGTAAAAAAAACTCGAGCTAAAGTGTTCGTTGTAATTGAAAATTTGCAACTTTAAATCACATCATTAATCACAGAGTGATGAGAGCAGACTGGGATTCAGCGGCTCGGCAGCAGCTCCTAAATAGCGTCAGATAAAAATGATTGCAAAAGTACATAATTTCACTATAATGGCTCTAGTCCAAAAATCAACACATTTCGAAATGGCGAGATGGGTACACAAGGCTATAAATTCACTCACTACTCGACACTCCACGAATCGCGATGATGTGATTTTTCGTGATAAGAGAAATCAAGATTTACTTTTCACCCAAACGATCTGGAATCATTTCACTGCGTGCGCTCGTCAGAGATGCACAAGTAGCAGCCCGAAGAAGCCAGTGAGTCTTGGCCACGCACTACGCTCTAAGTGATGCTCTCAAGGGTGCTAATCACCTTCTTATACCCATGCATCGGCTAATTGAACCCCCAGGCCCCGCATGTGATGCAATCTAAGGCAGAAGTGGCGGAGTTGATAAGACAATCTCGGCGTCATTAGGCTGTTTTAGGAAATTTTACATGACTATTTTGATGCACTATATTTGCACAGCATCGACCTTACGGCGGGATCACCTAATGTGCAGGTGATTGTTTTTGTTATTGTCAACAGGCCCGACTATGTGGCGAAAAGTTCATCTCCCAATGACGCCATTGAGAATGTCTCGTGGCATCAAGCTGTGGAGCATCAGCTCCCGAGAGAGAGAGGCGCACAAAAAGTGGCGAGATATGGTGTAAATTCATCATTGTGATTTGTGTATGACGACCAACACACGAAGGTGTTTGTCTAGAAACGCTTCGCCCTCAGGAAGCCAAGCCTGATGGGTGAATTACAACCAGACACTCCAAATTTATGGAAAAGAATTTGTCCACTTTTCATCATAATTATGTTAGAAAGTGGAATGATACATGGCAGCGGGTCAAAGAGGTTACAAGATGTAAGGGAAGGTGACACAATTCCACATTCGCCACGTGGAGAAGCATGATTTTCAGTATTAAGAATTAAATATTGGTAAAGCGATTTAATTCGAAAGAACATGAAATACAGGCATCTTATTTACACAATATTGAGTAAGGTCCCAGATCTGCATAATTTTCATTCCTCCTGTTTTAATTCTGCTTTAAAATATGTCAAAGCTCTTCCTCCCATTTCGCAAACCTCCTTGGAGGGGGTCGACTAGGTAGACGGTGAGACAGAAACTGCCGCAAACGCTGATTAAGAAAATAATTTATTTTTACCGCCACGCCAGGTACATAGTGCGTGAAAGTGACGACAGAATTAATTTATGGTGTAGACTGTGGGTGACGGTGTGGGTTTGCGTCTCTTTCCGGCGAGAGCTTCTTGGATAGCTTCAAAGCTCTTGCCTTTCGTCTCGGGCACTAGGAAAAGCACAAAAAGCGCCTCGAAGAAGCAGAAGCCAGCAAAGAACCAGTAACAAGTGTACATTCCGAAAGCTTCCACAATGTATGTGTAGTAGAGGATGACGAGAAATGCTGCTGTCCACGATATGAAGAGGAATGCCGTGGCGAGGAAGCCCAGAATCTTTGGCGGTAGGAACTCGGCAAAGATGAAGAAAGGCAGATTGTTGATGCCGATGTTGCAGATGAAAACGGCCCCGGAGAGGGCGGATAGCGGTAGCCAGCCGTAAGCAGACATGTCAACTCCGGAAGCTTTGAGGAACAAATGAGCTCCGAGGGCGGTGTGACACAGGGCTGTTCCGGTTGCGCTGACAATCAGGAGAACTCTCCGTCCGGCGCGATCGACGAGCCAGGATGATATCAGGGAACCGACAACTTGAATCGCCGCCACAACGATGGCCGATAAATTCGGGCTGAGGTCTGAGCCGGCCTCTTGGAAGATGCTAGTTGTGTATGTTACAATAGCAAACACACCGCAAAAGTCCGTGCCCAACAACAACACCAGACTGATAAGAACTGCGCGTATCGTCGTGGGAGCGACTGTTTCAGAGTAAGAGATTAGTTGTTGAATTAAGATTTAGAGAATTATTTCCAGAAGTTATGCAATACTCACTAAGATCTTGGATTGTTACGGAATCCTTCTTACTAGCGCTATTAATTAGGTTCTTCATGTTCTCAAATTCAGTCTGAATACTAGTCAATGTATCACTCTTGGCATCGTCCTTGACTCCGCGGAAAAACTTCAATGACTTTTCCGCTTCAGCAGGTCGATTCTTTAGCAAAAGATAGTAAGGCGTTTCGGGGAAGAAAAGGAATGTTGTGGCAAAAATAGCGACTAAGGCTAAGACCACATAGGGAAAGGTTGAGATCGTCATGTAGCTTCCAATCACATACCCAACGAGGATGCCAGTGTTGTCTAAGACAATCAAAGCAGCTCCCAGTCGCCCACGAACCCTGGAAAATTCCACATATTTGCTTAGAATTCGAAAAGAAATATTTGTTTTGTAAGTGCCTTACTTATCTTCAGAGATTTCATTAATGTAAATCGGCAATGCAATAAACAGTCCCCCTCCAGCGATTCCTCCTACGATTCTGGATGCCAGCAAGTAGTTGCCATCCTGAGCGAACAGGATCAGCAGGAAGGACGTTGCGAGCGGAAGTGAGAGGAGGAACAGCGACCATTTTCGGCCAATGCGATCCACCAAAGCACCGAAAATAACATTCCCGATTATTCCGCCCAAGCAAGTTGACGAATTGATCCAGGATGCTTGATCGTCACTTATTGGACCAGACGGGAGAGAACTGTCTGGAGTGAGCAGAACTGGAATGACAGGAGATACCCAGCCGACTACTGTTCCAAAGGCAATCGCGGCGATATTTCCTGGAGGTGAGCAAATATCGTGTCAAAATTTAATCCTCCGCAATAAATTAAAACAACATCTTCGAATACGAATACAATACCGCTGATCGTGGCCAAGTATTGGTAAACTCTCGACGTCATTGTGAGATGCAATGGAGGAATTCTTGGGCTTTCTCATCAAGACACTTTCACCGAGAGAACTCTTAACTGATAGTTCACCGAGATTCTGGCACTAACTGAAGCTGTGTGAATTTCTTCCACCTTTAAAATGTGGATGGATTACACGCTCTTAAGATGATAAATTGCGATAAGTTGCAAATGAATTGTCATCGCTGTGATTTCCTTGAGCAATTAAAGTATAAATCTTTGTGTCGTGCCAGCCAGTTGGTGTGAAAAAAATCGCGTGCTAGCGAAAATAAAACATATAGAAATCTTTGAACTCTAATGCGTTTCTTTATTTCTTTTTGGACAGCATCTCGAGAATCTCTTCTGTGCTTTTGCCCTTCGTTTCGGGCTGAACAAAAATAATGAAGATCACTTGCAGGAAGCAACTTGCGGCGAAGAACCAAATGCAGGTGTGCATTCCATATTCATAGCCGATGATTATGAAGTACTTGACTAGGAGGAAAGTTATCGGCCAGTGGATGATCATGAAGACTGTAGCTGTCAGGCTGCGAATTTTTGTGGGTAACATCTCAGCCATGACGAAGAATGGGATGACCAGAAGACCCAAACTGCCGATGAAAATAGCGGCGCAGAAGGAAACCATGGGCAACCATCCAAAGTCAGTCATGTCAACGCCTTGTTGTTTCAGGAAGAAGTGAACACCAAGGATAACGAGACAAATTCCAGTTCCCAGAGAGGAAATGAGGAGCAGGACTTTCCGTCCAACTCTGTCAATGATGACTGTTGAACATAATCCTCCAGCCCACATAATCACACCAAGAATGATAGTCGAAAGATCTGGAGACAGTGATGAACCTGCCTCCTCGAAAATCATCCCTGTGAAGGTGATTAATGGAAAAAGGCCGCAAAAATTCCGTCCACATAGCAGAGCAAAGCTGACCAAGAGGCCCATTCGAACACTACGTGGTTCTGGAAGGAAAGCAAAGACAGTGAAAGAGTTTTTAAGTAAAGGAATGTTTGAGATTCTTACTAAAATCATCCCAGGATATCGAAGTAGCGTCGGTGCTTTTGATGCTAGAGCTCTGAAGACGCTTAAATTCGTCTTGAAAGTCATCTGAGGTGTAATCCTTTTGTTTTTTGCTGTATCCACGGAAGTACATAAGAGAATCCTCAGCTGCCCCAATTTTGTTTTTCATCAACAAATACTGCGGAGTCTCCGGCAGCAGAGCAAAGACTACCACAAAGACGGCCATGCAACCCAGTACAACGTAAGGATACTCGATAAAGTGCATGTAAGGTCCAATAATGTATCCGAGGAGGATCCCAAAGTTCACGAAATTTCCCACGAAGAATCCGAGTGTCCCTCTTATTCTGCAAGAGAAGAGTATTGCCATTAGTCAGCTTCGAGTGGTCTGGAGTGTCCGATAGTGTCATTCATTACCTGCTTTCAGAGATTTCCGATACGTAGATTGGGAGAACACAAAAAAGCGCCCCTCCAGCGATTCCACTCAAGAAACGAGATATATAAAGGTAGATAACATTCTGAGCGAAAGTGATAAGGAGGAAGGCTACAATGTGTGGCACAGTGCCAAGGTACAGGGACCACTTCCTTCCGATTCTGTCTGCTAGCCAACCGAAGATCAGCGTGCCAACCGAGCCTCCGATATAGAGGAGGGAACTGATCCAGGAGGCATCTTCTGTACTGATGGATCCACTGGGCAAAGGACTATTGTCACCCAAGAGATGAGGAAATGTCGGGGATACCCAACCCACAGACAGGCCATAAACTAGTGATGCGATGTTAGCTGCAATTATTACATTTCAATTTCTATATCCTAAAACTGGTAGATCGGTAAAACTTACCACACACGGCTGCGTAGCACTGATTCACGCGAGCCCCCATACTCTTCAGTCTTCAGTAAAGATCCAACAGTGAAGCAAGAGATTGCTGTTCCAGTTGCGAATGGCGAAAAGCAACTGCGGCCACCAAAGCCACAGCATAGATGAAGAGGTTCTCTGATATGGCCAAGTGTCGTAATGAAGAGAGGTGATATTAGATCTTGTCATTGTGGTTGAGGAGACTTCCCAGTAAAGCTCGAAACAAACATTTAACAAGGCAATAATTTTTTAATTCACTGAATTCGCAAATACAGTAGCAATTTCTGATAAAAAAAGAACGAGGAATCACACAGACAGTTGTTAGCGTCCAGTGAATGTAGGAGTCACTGCTCAGGAAAATCGGCGGTCTATATACTGAGACAAGGAATTTGTTGTTGTGTGAGGTTCTTATCATCGCGAAATGTCAGCCATATCTTCCCTGTTGGTCGTGGCTCGAGTTGATGATTGGACACTTTTCTTCTCGAGAGCGTAAACGATTTCTTCGGCATTCTTGCCTTTAGTCTCCGGCACGCTGGTCAGGACGAATAGTAACTCGAAGAAGCACCACGCCGCAAATGTCCACATGCAGGTGTGCATTCCGAAGCCGTCTACAAAAGCCACGAGGTACTCAACAAAGAGAAATGAGTGGAGTAATGAAGTGAAAAGAAAGGCTGTGGCTACAGAACTCCTTATCTTGGCCGGCACTATCTCAGGCACTATGAAGAATGGCACATTCATGATGCCCAGGGCGGCGATTAGGACGGCTCCTGAGCAGGAGATGAGAGGAATCCAGCCAAAAGAAGAGAGATTGACTGAGATACTCTGCAAATAGAAGTGAACGCCGAGAATGAGAAGGCAAATTCCTGTGCCAATGGATGAAATTATCAAGAGAATCCTCCTTCCGACTCTGTCAATGAAAGTTAGGGAAATATACAGTCCCACGAGTTGAATCACTCCTACGATTATGGCAGATATATTGGGCGTGAGATCAGTTCCTGCCTCCTCAAAGATGCTCGATGTGAAGTTGAGGAGTGGGAAGATGCCACAACAATTCCTGCCAGCGATCAAGACGAAGCTGATAAGAAGAGCTTTCCTCGTTGATTTTGGCTCTGAGAAAATACAAAAAGAAATAAATTTCATGTTGGCGAACAAAATAACGAGCATTGTAATCTTGGATGACCTTTAAAAGCTCTCCAATTTGATGAGTCACTTTAAACCTCTCATTATAATATGCAAGCAATTTACAATCATACAGGGTAATTTAAACCATGGAAACATTCGTCATTACAAGAGCATGTACTTGTGCAATCTGCATTCAATTGCTTTCACCCTCAATAAATCGTGGATATTGAATAAATAAATCACAGTTCGTTGATTAATTGAGTGCACTTCAAGCGTCCATACTTTACTATATTGAGAACTAAACATTTTACTGCAGACCCATTTCAATCTGATGAAATATGTACAACGGAGAGTTTATTGTATATATTTTTCCAACAGTTTCACATCTGATTCTGTTGTGCATTTGATACCCACTCAATTATTTAATTCTTGCCAATTAATTCATCATTGGCAGATTGCAAATTTTCTATTAAACATTCAGTACAATTGTTGCAGAAATGAATAGTTTGAGTTATGGGATTTTGTATTAATACTCACTGAAATCATCTATAGACACCGAAACATTCTTCTTAGAGTTTCTTGGGGTGTTTTGCAGTTTTTCCAGTTCGTGTTTGACACTTTCGGGAATACCTTCTGATGAATTCTTCCCAATGCCACGAAAGAATCTCAGCGATTCCTCGGCCTCTTTTACTTTTCCACTGAGAAGAAGGTATTGAGGAGTGTCTGGGAAGTACGGGAAGATGAGGACAAAGACGGCAATGAAGGCCAGGACAACATAGGGAGAGAGGAAGAAGGAAACATATCCGCCAATGATGAATCCTAGGAGGATTCCTGTGCAAACACTGAAGGCAAAATAGGACCCGAGGGAGCCTCTTATCCTGAAAAATGGGGACAAAGCAACTCTCTCAAAATCTCACGAGCTGTGCAAAGTTGATGAGGTCTCTTACGAGTCTTCAGCGATTTCCGAGACGTAAATCGGGGTCACTACAAAGCTCGCACCGGCCGCCAATCCACTGAGAATCCTCGACACATAGAGATGCGTGAGTCCTGTTGCAAAGGCAATTAGGAGGTGGGCAGGAATTTGGAGCAGTGTCCCTATGAACAGAGACCACTTCCTGCCAATTCTGTCCGCCAGCCAGCCGAAAATCAGTGTGCCAACCATGCCGCCGATGTACAGTATGGAGCTGAAGAGGGAAGTGTCGGTTTTTCTCACTGGCCCCACCATCAAGGGACTGTTCTCTGAGAGCAGCAACAGAATCACCGGTGAAGCCCATCCCACATTAATGCCGTACACAATCGATGAGATATTCACTGGGAATTGGAGAGAATTTGCGTCGATTTCACACAACGACAATTCACAGAACACTCACCGCAAATCGCTCCGAAATACTGAATGGCTTTTCCACCTATTCTTATTGTGAGGTTCATCTTTGAAGGCTTGCGAACTGCACTATCGAAGAGCTGAACAGTGAATAACGAATGAAGTATTCTTATGAATATTTAATCTCACAGTGGATTTGGGGAAACAGGAATGATAAAAAATCATCATTGAGAGTAGTGCAAATATTCTTCTCTTAAGTTTACACAAAAAGAGATATGAAGAATAACAAGTAGGAATAATGTTTCTAAAGGAAATATATGTACAGCATCAAGGCAATTTCCATGAAAACCACAAGAAAACTCAATGAGAGCATTAAGTACTGGGACAGTAAAATTAATTGACAGCACGAATGAAAAATTCCTCGTGAACATAGAGTTTTTTTTTTATTTGTTTAGCACGTTGAATACTTATTGCATAGCGTAAATGAAAGAGGAAAATTAATTAGGAAAATCAAATAGAAAATAATTGAGAATTAATGAGTTCGTGTAGAAATTGATTACGTGTCAATTATTGCACAAGATTCTTATAGTTTGCTGTCTCGCTCAAAATTTACTTTTCATATTTCATATCTTCCCAGAATTGATCTACGACTTTAGATATAAGGAATTCTTAAGATTATAATTCATTCTTTTGAGACACAATCCGGGTTTTTGTTTTATTTGTGATTTACGGTGAGACTGAGCAATATGTCACGAAAATTAATGATGTATCTATTCTACGAAATATATATATATATATATATATATATATATATATATATATATATATATATCATACACATAATTTTGTATTCCTATCATTTAATTCCAGATTTTATTATATTTTATTTAGTCAGGTTTCTCACAATTTCACTACGAAATGAGACATAAAAAGCACTAATTTCAGATTGCTCACAATTCACTTTGTGAAGAAATTGCAACTCTCTTCATTCATGACAGCTGTATAATTAATCAACCATCTCATTAATGCTTCAGACTTAGTCGGAAGTGGTTTCGGAAATGAGGGTGACAAATCGTGCAAAAATACTTTGATGAATTCTCTCTTCCTGGATGCCAAGTCAAGGAGGGAATTTCCATTCATGAGAATACCAATGCCAACCTCGGGAAGCCATAGGAATTTTGATGAGAGCAGAGAAGAAAGTGCAAATAGAAAAAAGTATGCAATGCTTTAAGTTTAAAACAGTGAATGAACCTGAGCAGAAGGTGACATGAAAAAGTTTATTAATGAGAGCGAATTGGATTATTAAAGTATTTTATTCGCGAATTTAAGCTCATCGACAAAAAGGTAGTGTGAGCACTGAAGTATGCTTATATTGCAGAGCTGGTATCTTTTAATGAGCATTGCGTTCAAAGTTATGCTGAAAGTTGAGCGAGAGAAACATTTATATAATGAGATGAAAACATCACTTCAACTTCATATGGCAGAAATTGAGTTTAATGTGTCGCTTGAGTTTTTTTTCTCCTCATAATTAGAGACAAGTTGCTCTGTTGCTCCGAGAAAGCATATTTTACTACTCTTTGACTCATATATATCGACAGAGTTAGCTCATTTCGCTGAAAAAAACCCATTTAACAATCAGATTTATTACACTTTCCATTTCTCTTATCATTTAACGTCTTAACAATATCATCAACACTTCTTCCCTTAGTTTCGGGAACGTACAAGTAAATAAAAATAGCTTCCAACACTATGCAAGTAGCGAAGGCGATCATAGAGGTGTGTAAGCCAAATTTCTCAATTAATGGCAGAAAGAACTGCATCGTGAGGATCGACTGAACTCTCGTCACCATGTAAATGATGAAGACGACAGTTCCTCTCAGCTTTGTCGGCACAATCTCTGTCATAATGATCGTAGGAGTGTGAATTAATCCCATTGAGAAGATGGCAACGCCTGAGAAGCCAACCAGTGGAACCCATCCTGAGAAAGATGAAACATCCAGGCCCGCGTTTTGAGCATAGAAGTATGTTGCAATTGGAATGTAACTTATAAACGTTCCCATTAGTGATCCTAAGAGTTGAGGCCTTCGTCCTAATTTGTCGATGTACAGAGACATTGAGAAGAAACTGATCAACTGAACAATGGCAAAGATTATGGTTCCCAAGTTGGGATCCATTTCCATTCCAGTCTCTTGAAAGATCAATCCATTGAAGTTGAGGATAACTCCAATTCCGGACGTTTGTCTGCCAGTGAATATCACGAGAGAAATGACCAGAGCTTTAATAGTGGATGGATTTTCTGAAAGAAGAACAAAAATTGATAAATTGCCACGTGAATGACAAGAAAAGACTCACTGAAATCCTTTAGAGTCACTTCCTCATGAGAGCTCTTCTCTGGATCCACTATTGACTCCCTCAAGTGATTAAACTCCTCATCAACTTTCTCCTTAGGCGCATCTTTGCGGTAAAAGTCAAACGATCGCCTAGCTTCAGGTATTCTCTTGTGCAAGAGAAGGAACTGTGGGGACTCTGGAAAGAAGATGAAAAGTAGAGACACTCCAGATAGGATTATAAAAACATATGGAGCTGTGTAGAAGGGCAAATAAGCTCCCACAACTGCTCCCACCAACACGCCAACACAATCAACAATCCCCAGAATTGATCCCAGAGTTCCTCTTATACTAGAAAATCAGAAAGAAACTGTGTTTGACGGATGCCACAGATGTGATCATGCTGGAGGAGATTTTACCAGTCCTCTGAGACCTCGCAAACATAAGCAGGAATGAGTTGCATGGCTCCGCCGGCGACTCCGCTCAGAAATCTCGAGGAGTGGAGGTAGAAGACATTTTGGGCGAAAATTATGCACAGGGCGGCTGCGATCTCTGGAATGGTGGCCAGAAGAAGGCATAGTTTCTGCCCGAAACGCTTTCCAATGTACCCAAAGCTGAGTGTGCCCAGGAGACCGCCGAAGTACAGGATGGAACTAATCAGGGACGCGTGCGCAATGGAGATTTGACCACTGGGTAGCGGACTGTTCTCAGATAACAGCTTTGGAAGCGTTGGAGACGGCCATATGGCCACCATTGCGTACACCATAGTGTGGAAATTCGCCAAGAAAGCACTAAGAAACTGTCTAAATCTCCCACTCAACTGTATCTTCCACTCCATTTCGATTGTCACGATCAACTGAACAAGTCTAATGGGCGAGAATTGCTTTTATCTCACGAGAATATATTTATTTTTGCCTAATCTCTGAATACAAAAAAGTCTCCTGGCAATAATTGTTGGCTGTGTGCTTTCGCTCGACGCGACGAAAACAGTGGATGTGCACAAAGAATAATAAAAAATAGACTTATCACAGTCATTGTGGTGACATGAGAAGCATATCACTTGATTGATTGTATCTCAGATCGCGTCACAATTAACAACAAACATTGCATCAGTCGCGAATGAATTGGCCTTAACTATATGTAATTGAAAAGAAACTATACATATATTGCTTGTGATATGTCAAGACGATAAATAAAGAAATTATTATGAAAGATAGCACAAGATCAAGGTCGTACAAAGATAGCGAAAACCTAAAATAAGTTGGCACGCGTCAAGAATGTTCGGATAAATCCGAATCATGCCGCGAATAACTGAATATAGCCGCATAGGAAATAAAAACAACATAATACTAATGCCCTGTAATGTCAACGGAACCACGATTCTGCAGTACTTGACCTTGTGATCGCTTGAATATAAGATACAATACTATAGGAAAGTTTATGGTTTACAACAGCAAGAACATGATAACTGTTGTCGAGCTCGTAATGAGACTGATTCACTCGTTAGACAATTCTTTCACTTACGCTCGTCTGTTTTGAAATAGAGAAGTATTCACAGTCATCCCGTTAAAAATAAACATTTCTGAAGCCGCAGACAAATTTAACCAATTAATTAGGTCAATTAATGTTAACAATCAATTGCAAATTTATATATTATTCACACTCTGCTTTGTCGAGGTTCGCACTTCTTCTATCAGTGAGAGTTTTAACAATATCATCGATACTTCTACCTTTAGTTTCTGGCAAATAAAAATAGATGAAGATCGCCTCAAACAGTGTCCAAATTGAAAAACCAACGATGCAATTATGCAAACCAAATTGATTTATGAATGGCAAAAAGAAATGCATCATAAAGAGACATTGAAATCTTATAACAAAGTAGCTGATTAAAGCGATCGTTCCTCTGAGTTTTGCGGGAACTATTTCACCCATAACAACCATTGGCGTGTGAATAATTCCCACTGAAAAAACAGCAACTCCCGAAAATGCTAAAAGTGGAACCCATCCTGAGAAGGACGAAACGTCCAGGCCCGCGTTTTGAGTATAGAAATAGGCTGCGATTGGAATGTAACTGATAAATGTGCCCACAAGAGATCCAATTATCTGGATTCTTCGGCCAAATTTATCGATGTACATAGCCGTCAGGAAGTCGCAAACTAACTGAACGCTAGCATAAATTACGAATCCTACATTTGGATCTAATTCCATTCCAGTTTCCTTGAAGAGGAGTGCATTAAAGTTGAGAAATATTGCAACTCCTGAAGCTTGACGTCCCGTGAAGATTACAAAGCAAATAATCAGAGCTTTAATCGTAGAAGCGTTTTCTGAAAAGACATTTTTGTGAGTGGCACTCAAATTTACACTATTATTGTAATTCTTACTGAAGTCATTTGCAGTCACTTCTTCTTTAGTTGTTACTATAGAATCCTTCAAAAGATTAAATTCCTCGTCAACCTTTTCCTTCGGCACGTTTTGACGGTAGAAATCCAGAGATTGTTTGGCTTCTGGAATTTTTTTGCGCAAAAGAAGAAATTGTGGTGACTGTGGAAAGAAGATGAAGAGTAGAGACACTGCAGAAAGTAATATGGACACAAATGGTGCATAGAAGAAGGGTAAATAAGCTCCAACGATTGCTCCAAGTAGAACGCCAGCAGTGTCAATAATCCCCAGTATTGAGCCCAAAGATCCTCTCACACTGAAGGGAGAGACAAAAAATACCAAACATAATTTGTTATTTAAAAACTGGTTTATGGAATTTAGAGGTCACTTCACCTGTCTTCGGAAACTTCGCAAACATAAGCCACTACTAACTGAAGGCAGCCTCCGCCAAGTCCACTGAGAAATCTGGCCACAAGAATATATTTGACATCCTGAGCAAAGACAATGCAGAATGCGGCTGCGATTTCTGGAATTGACGCAAAGACTATGGGCCACTTCTGGCCATAGCGTTTTGCCACGATTTCATAAATAATACTTCCGGCGATTCCACCAAAGTAGGGCAAAGAGCTGATCAAATTTGCGTCTCCAATCGAGATCTTCCCAGAAGGCAGAGGACTGTCTTCAGAAAGGAGCAGAGGAAGTGCAGGAGATGTCCAAGTAACCGCCATTGAAAACACCATTGTGTGCAAATTCAACAAAATTGCACCGAGAAACTGGAGAATTCTCCCACTAAATTTGACTCTCAACTCCATTGCGAATGCGAAGACAAACTGAGAGAGCACAAGAGTACAAGAAAATTTTATCTTAGTCTAGACCTAGGAAATATTTATATATTTTTTTATCTTAGTATAAACAAGTAATGGTGATTTTATTGCTTTGACATTTTTGTGTGTTGACCAGCGTTTCGCTGTGTGAATTCAAATGAGACAGAAAAGTGAGCAAAGTCACGACACAGGCATCGAATTTCATTAGTATTTGTTATTTTTCTTATAAAATGAGTAAGCAATGATGTTTACAAATTTTCCGATAGTGACATTTTCAGTGAAAACCACTCGTTTTTCGAGCTCATCTGCAAAAAATCTGTTGAGATATTTAGAATAGCCCAAATTAAAATAGTGTAGAATAATTTGTTTACCTACAGCTTTTTATTACAAATAGTAATTACTTGTAGACCGTTAAAATAAAGTGACTTCGCATTATTTTCTTTGAAGAGGTTCTATTTCTTATCGGTCAACGTTTTTACGATGTCATCAATGCTTCTTCCTTTTGTTTCTGGCAGGTATAAGTAGATGAAGATCGCTTCAAACAATGTCCAGATTGCGAACGCGATTACACAAGAATGCAAACCAAAGTCTCCTACTACTGGGAGGAAGAAATGCATCGTGAGAATCGACTGGAATCTCATGATAAAGTAACTGATAAGAGCTATCGTTCCTCTGAGTTTCGTGGGCACAATTTCACCCATGACGACCATTGGTGTGTGAATCAATCCCATTGAGAAGACGGCGACGCCTGTGAATGCCAGAAGCGGCATCCATCCTGAGAAGGACGAGACGTCGTGTCCCGAGCTTTGGGCGTAGAAATAGGCTGCGATGGGAATGTAACTGGTAAATGTGCCCAAAAGCGAACCGATCAGCTGAGGCCTTCGGCCTAATTTGTCGATATATAGAGACATCAAGAAGTAACTGGCTAGTTGGGCGAAAGCGTATATGATGAATCCCAAATTAGGATCCATTTCCATTCCTGTCTCCTTAAAAATGAGCGCATTGAAATTAATAAATATACCAACTCCTGCAGCTTGACGTCCAGTAAAAAGCACAAAACAAATTATTAGAGCCTTGATGGTGGATGGATTTTCTGTAAAGAACCATATGAAATACCATATGTAATTAGATTTATGTACTTGTAACACTCTTACTGAAATCATTCCAAGTAACTGCCTCTTCATCAGTCCTTTCTGTGTCCACAATGGCTTCCTTTAATCGATTGAATTCCTCATCTATTTTTTCATTCTGTGTGAATTTACGATAAAATTCAAGTGACTGCTTGGCTTCTGGAAGTTTCCTGTGCAACAGAAGGATTTGCGGAGATGGTGGAAAGAATATGGCAAGGAGGGAGATTCCAGAAATAGCCACGAAAACATATGGAGCAATGAAGAAGGGCAAATATGCTGCAGCAATCGCTCCCACTAATACGCCAAGACAATCTCCGATTCCCAAAATTGATCCCAAAATTCCTCGAACACTAAAAGAGAAGAGAAGTTCCTTGGATATTTTTCTGGAAAACCAGTTCAACACTCGTTTCACCTGTCTTCTGACACTTCACAGACATACGCCACGACTAATTGCAAGCAACCACCGGCGGCTCCTCCAAGAAATCTCGCCACGTGAATATAATTGACATCCTGAGCGAAAGCGATGAGCAGAGCTGCCACGATCTCTGGAATCGTGGCCAGAATTATGGGCCACTTCTGTCCGAAGCGCTTACCAATAAATCCGAAAGAAATAGTGCCCACCACACCACCGAAATAGGGCAGAGAACTGATCAAATTGGCGTCTCCAATCGAGATCTTTCCAGTAGGCAGAGGACTGTCTTCGGAAAGGAGCAGAGGAAGTGCAGGAGATGGCCAAGTGACGACCATAGCGTAGATCATTGTATGGAAATTCAATAAAATTGCACAGAGAAATTGGAGAATTCTCCCACTTAATTTGACTCTCAACTCCATTGCGAATGCGAAGACAAACTGAGAGAGCAGGAAAATGTAAGTACCTTAGAACTTCAATCTCAGCTGAAAGGTATAAAATTTTTTTGATCAACAAACACTGGAAGTAGTGATCTTGACATTTTTTCCGTATATCATACATTTAATTGAAATGTGTTTTTACTTTAAATAGCTGCGTCATTTATATTATGTGTGTTTTTATGTAATATGGAAGTATGAATGAACTTTCTGTTTGAACATCTGTCGATTGAGAGTATGTGTATTTTTTATTAGTTGCTTGAACTTGACAGAAAAATGCTAATTTTATGACAATTGTTTTGACGTAGACTATAGATATGTCCATTTATAAAAAAACTATCACAGTCGTTGAGTAAAAGCGTCACTCTTTTAAAATATGTTTCAGCCACTATCAAATTGACTCTAACTGTTGTAAATTGCTGTGTGATCAGAGTACAATACAATGACTACAATATCTGTGTATAAAGGTTATCTATGCCCCCAGCGTTCGTGCTATCTTATCTGTGGGTAATTAATAGCCAATTTATCGCGAAAGTGCCGAAATAGACGTGACGCACTCACTTGGCTCTTCCTTCTAGAGCCAAAACAATCTCATCTGGGCTCTTGCCTTTCGTCTCGGGCAGCATGAAGTACGCGAAAACCGCCTCGAAGAAGCACCACGCGGCGAATATCCACATGCAGCTGTGCACTCCGAGGAGGACAGCGAGTGGAGTGTAGAACTGCACGATGAGGAAGGTGGTCGGCCAGGCTGTGGCCATGTAGACTGTCGCCACAGAGCTGCGGATCTTCGCTGGCAAGAGCTCTGCCAGGACGTAGACGGGAACGTTGAGCACGGCAGCGGCCAAGAAGAGTGTGCCCGAGAGAGAGATCACGGGCAGCCAGGACACCGCAGACAAGTCATATTGCAACTGGTTGAGGAGGAAGTAGATCCCGATGACGGTGAGGCAGAGCCCAGTTCCAATCAGCGAAGAGATGAGGAGAATCCTCCTCCCAGATTTGTCCGTCAAGTAGGCAGACACGATGGTGCCCAGCAGCTGAATCACCGCCACAATGATAGCCGAGATGTTGGGATCAATGCTCGTTCCGGCCTCTTCGAAGATAGACACTGTGTAGTTCATGAGGGGAAACACCCCAGAGAAGTTCCTCCCACACAGAAGGACGTACGTGATGAGAAGAGCTTTCCGCGTTGTGGCAGGTTCTGGGGCGTAAAAAAAGACAAGAGAAATGATGCGAAATCTGGTGAGTCATAAATCACTTGGCCACACTCACTGAAGTCCTCCAGGGACAGACTCTCCTTCGTGTTCGAGGCGCTCACGGCTGTCTTCAGAGACTCGAATTCCATCTTCGTCTCGTCGGTTTTTGCCATGCCGCGGAAGAATTTAAGTGACTTCTCAGCGGCCGCGTCCTGGCGCTTCAGCAACAAATACTGCGGAGATTCAGGGAAGAGTATGTAGAGACTGAAGAGCGCCAGGATTGCCAGGACGATGTATGGCACGGTGTAGAAGTGCACATAGGCGCAGATGACGTAAGCAATGATAACTCCAACGTTGTAAAAAATGCCCAGAATCGAACCCAGCGTTCCTCGAATGCTGCAAGCCAACAGAGTAGATGTAATATTTTTTCTTAATATTATTTTCAAGATGAAAAGATATTCTAAAGAATAATCTTATAAATATTTATTTTCATCCCCGGTTAAGTAAAGAAATACAATATGTAAAACAAAGCTGGGTCTTCGCCCTGTAATTCATAAGTCAGATGCTTTTTCTGATAGCAAAATGATTCGCAAAAAGCTCCTGTATTTTATTGTGTTTGCCTTTAAGATATGTCTTCAGAAAACCCAAGCTTTTGCGTCTTTAAAGAGCTCAGTTTTTATCGGAATATTTGATACATAAATAGAATAGAAGTTTAATCTAGACCTGGAAATTTAATAAGCTGCTGTAACGTTTATTTTGACGATGATATTGAAATTGCACACACTTTCTGTACACAATGTGAAATTATTTTTTCACTATATTGTAAACAATTGTAAAGTGAGAAATGATTAAACTATAAGGAGACTGTAAATGCAATAAACCCATAACTTTTCCACGTTTCTCGACTCTTCAAATATTTTTCATTGTCTTAGAACTGAAGAATGAGATCATTAATTTTACAAGTTATAGTAATAATGTTATCTTATCTATCAAAACTGATGCAACTCACGATGAAATTGCATTTAAAGCGCAAGCGCAGTTTTGATGGGAAAGGTTGCACTATCGCAATTCTCTTGCAATCTGCTGTTATCAGCACTTAATCGGTCACTTGGAACAATTTCTGCTCGATTGATAAGTGAGCTGGAGAGTTTCTTACCTGTTCTCTGAGATTTCGCTGACGTAAATTGGCGCCAGGACGAAAAGAGCGCCTCCTGAGATGCCCGACAGGAATCGTGAGGCGTACAGGAACTTGATATTCGTCGCCGTGGCGATAAGGATGAAGGCGAGAGCCTGAGGCATCATCCCCACGATGAGTGGCCACTTCCTGCCAAAGCGGTCCGCCACCCATCCGAACATTATGGCTCCGACCATTCCGCCCAGGGCCATGATGGAGTTTGTGAGTGAAACTTCCTCTTTGGTCAGCGGCCCGGAGGGCAGCGGCGTTTCTGCCGACGACAGAATAGGCATTGTCGCCGAGGGCCATCCCACGACAATTCCATACACGATGCCTCCCAAATTTGCACAAATTGCACCGAGAAACTGGATTAATTTGCCACTTATTCGAACGCGTTTCAACACCATTTTGCACTAATGTTTCAGTCTAGAGTTTCACATAAAGAGACTGGGCTGAGAGAGTTGGATCTTCACTGCTGCGTATCTCGAGGGTGACTGAAGGAATGGTTGCTGTGAGCTACTATAGTCAATTGGGGCCACAATCTAGAACGATAACTTTTTATAACTGGACACTTTTATGGGGGTAAACAAGCGTTATATCACAGAAATTCAGTTCCACACATCTTAACGGATTTCTCACGCCAAAGATTCGCGTATTGAGTCTCCTCATTTCATCATCCTTATCAGAAGTAGGTACACGTGGAGTGATTTGCCGAAATGGCTGTTTTTTTCACACATTAACACTTCTCCAGACATAATAAACCTATCTCAACTTGATAAAACAACATTTTTCCAATTTTTTTCATTTTGGTTTTGGTGTAAATCGCCAATTTGAGACTCTTTTTATCAATGAGTGATAGTGGCGAGAACAAGTTCGAAAGCCTCTCCAATTCAATTTACGACTTAAAGAGACACTCATCCAGGCTAATTTTCTATTTCACAACCGTACAAAAGTCAATATTTACTCTCATTACTCGACATTTCTCTGAACACATTTATTACAGTTGCATTCAGGCAATCATTCATACAATCCGTGATTTTACATAACTTTTAGGAGAGTGTTTATTTAATTTAATTGTATGTTAGCTAATTTTCACTTCAATTGCAAACTTTAGTTGACAATAAGAAGACTCAAAAGCGATTTATATGCGCGTATTGTCACGAAAAATAGATTTATGGGCACCGCCTTGGGAAAAGTTGCATTTTCTTACGTGTAAATTGAACTTTCACCAACACATTGTCATTATATGAATTAGTCAAATGCAATGGAAATTTCCACACAAAATTCTGAGGATTTATAGAGTCACATTTTATTGAAATGCACTGGCACTAAAAAGATTCTAAAATCAAGTTCATGTATCTCACTTTTCTCATTCAATTATGAGTATAATTATTAAATTTTCAAGGTTTTTGGTTCAAAGTCCAAAAAAACCACATTGAGATAAGACAATAACAATCTCGAACTCCTCAATGTGATGCAAAGTGAAAGACTGACCTGAGGAAAGTCTGCACACCGGGCTAGACTCAGAAATTATCCAAAAACCGGATTTGTCTGTGGCTAAATCACTCTAACGTTCGTTGCGATGTTTGCAAATTTCACCATTTTCTTGACTATTTATCCTGATCATGGAGCTGAATTCTAAATCTTTGTACCTTTATTGATGTAATTTGATGAATGAAATGATATTATGTACGCTTATGAATATTTTTACATATATACACTTTTGTTTTGCGTATGCAAATTCAAAGTGCACAGTGAATTTCGCCATTGGTGGCGCTGTTGCCAGTGAGAGGTGAGAAACAGTGGCGGCATAACCTCAAACTCCAGTGTTTGTTTTGCTTTGTTCAGAAATGGTGATGGACAAGAAAACCAAGAATTTACCATGGTAAATCAACTAAAACCTGGCGGAAGTGTGTGCATTTGATTACTTTACAACATCATTTTTGCTTTCAGGGTGGAAAAATATCGTCCCTCGACGCTGGATGAGTTGATATCCCACGAGGAGATCATCTCAACAAGTTAGTGATTTTCAATCTATTTTCCATAAATTTCTTCTGATTTTCCGGCATTTACAGTTACCAAGTTCATCGATGAGGGTCAGCTGCCACACTTACTCTTCTACGGTCCGCCTGGCACTGGAAAAACCACCACAATCTTAGCGTGCATCCGGAAACTCTACAATCCGGGAGAGTTCAATTCGATGGTATTGCAGCTGAACGCATCCGATGACCGTGGGATAAACATTGTCCGTGGGCAGATCCTGACGTTCGCCTCTAACAAGACAATCTTCAGTGGCGGAGTGAAACTAATCATCCTGGATGAAGCGGATGCGATGACGAATGATGCACAAAATGCACTCCGGAGGATTATCGAGAAGTACACGGACAACGTGAGGTTCTGCATCATTTGCAACTACTTGAGCAAGATCATTCCAGCTCTGCAGTCCAGATGCACGCGATTCCGCTTCGCCCCTCTGCATGCCAAGCAGATCTTGCCGAGGCTCGATTATGTCATTCGCGAGGAGAATGTCTCGGCAACTGAGGATGGCAAGCAGGCGCTGATGACTCTGTCGGGAGGCGACATGAGGAAGGTTCTGAACGTGCTGCAGAGCACCTGGATGGCTTTCAAGAGCGTCACCGAGGAGAATGTGTACACATGCGTCGGTCATCCTCAAAAAGAAGACATCAAGCACATCACCACTTGGCTGCTGAATGAGCCCGACTTCGCGGACACCGTGAGGAACATCCAGAATCTCAAGACGCTGAAGGGATTGGCTCTGCAAGACATCATCACTGAGATCCACGGCTACGTTCATCGCATGGAACTCCCGCCTCGAGTTCTCTGCGTGATTCTCATCAAACTGGCGGAGATCGAAGAGCGCTTGGCGATTGGATGCAATGAGAATCCCCAGCTTTCCGCGCTAGTGTCGCTCTTTCACACAACCCGCGACTTGGTGACCATCGAAGGATGATAGAAAGCATGTTTTACCGGCATTTCAACCTTGTTTCGCGAAATAAATTGTCCAGAATATAGAATCCAAATATCTTTTATTATTACTTCTCTGTAATTTTTACCAAACGTCTTACATAATTCACTACATTTTGGTTTCATCAACTGCAAGTCTGCAAAATTAGCGAATTGTCTCTTAAATTCCATCAAATGGGAGAAAGAATCATATCGAAAATGTTCACTTTCCTATGCTCTTTTTTTTACCTCAATAAATAATTATATCCCAATTTATTATTTCATGTGGCGTTCCGCTGCAAAACCCCATTAAATAGTTTTAAAATGTCTCACAATAGTCTAATGCAAAAGTACATGACGAGATAGGAGGAGCACAGAGAGAAATAAATGGTGGATTTGGCCAATTTTTGCCCAACTCAAGCCATTTACTTGCCTCTGCGAAGTTGGTTGAAGAACTAAAAATCAGTGGCGTCACAAGCATTAGTTAACTTCGTGAAATGTACCAGGTTAGTTTTAGTTTTGGGTAGTTAGACCCTTTGGCCAATAGGGTTTCTAGGAAGTTTGATTGAAAAAAATACAAATCAATCAATGCAATTAAGTAAGTCAATCGAATTTGTGTTTGAAAAATGCTCATAACAAAATGAGTTTCTAAGCCGGATTGCAAAATGATTAACCAAATCTCACTACGCCACTGTTCTGAAGTTACTTCGCTGCTGATAAGACGGGGTTCTTCAACCAAAATTTGGTAAGGAATTCACGAATACAAAGAAATGTGTCTTCTTTCCTGGGTTCTGAAACCAACTCTCACCCAAAAGCGTTGGTCATTCGCCGCCGTGTGATGTCCAGAGGCTCCGGACGCGCGGCGTGGGAGTGGGAGAGGGCGGGGCTGATCTCCTGTGTGATGCTCGCGACGAGTCCGAAGGGGGAGTAAGAATTAAATATGGGTAGAAGTGAGGATATGTACAAGGAGTGCGCGAACTGCGGCGTTTGTGACGTGGCCCGGGCGTCCTACAGGTACTTCCGATAGCTCCTCAGTTCGCTGTTGGGGCTGCCGGCGTCGCGCGGCGTGGTGGCCACCGCGGCGGCAGCCGACTCGAATGACGGCGGCTCGATCGTGGGCGGGCTGGGCACCTCCACCAGCCGCCCGCCGCTCGTGGCGCCGCTGCCCGTGCCCATGGTGGCGGCCGGCACCAGATTCTTGCGCCGGCCTCGGCGCGCCCCGCCGGCTACTCCGCCGCCCGGTGGGCGGCCCTTGCGTGGCGCGTCCGAATGGAGAGCAGTCATGGGTTTGCGGCCGGGCTTGGCCTTCTTCTCCCTTCTTTTCCTCTTCTTGTTGCCATACCTCGGATCGTAGTCGTACTCGTCGTCCGGGCTCTTGGGCTCGTCCAGCTGGTCCAGGTCGTTCATGTCCATGTCGTCGTAGAACCAGTCCTTGGGCAGTTCCTCCTTCAGGTTCTGGCTGTCCTTGCTGTCGCTCGTGTCGGCGCCGCCTAGCGACGAGGACTCCTCCAGCAGCGTCCCGTTGAAGTCCCCGCCGTCGTCGGGTGGCGGCACGGGGGCGCAGTCCGCCCTGCGGAGCCCGCTGAACGGCCTGAACATCTTCGCCAAGTACTGGCGACGGCTCTTGCGCCACCGCGTGGCCGGATACGTGTAGATCTGCCCCTCCCGGAAGCCGGGCATCCGCTGGCGCCGGCTCATGTAGAGGGAGCAATGGTTCTGCGCGACGCCCGTCTGAGGGTCCAGGAAGGGCAGGCGGAGTCGTCTCTCTATGCAGAGGCGTGTGTTGAAGTTGGCGCTGTACTCAATGGTCTCCCTGTACGTGGAGTCATTGAGGAAGCTCTCGATCTTCTCCAGGTTCGGCCCACTCACGATTTGGATGTCCACCGAGGACATCTTGCTTCGGGGTTGATGGTGGCTTCAATGGCAGATGGCGATTGCGATGGTGGCACTTTTCATCGTCATTTTCACGCTACGCCACGCACTTTCCAGCCACACCGACACCGCCGGCTACTACTCTGGCACCCACAGTAGCGCCCCACGCACAGCAAGTGTGCGGATTTGCCGGAAATATCGCGAAATTTGCCCTTTTCAACACCTCAATCACTGACAGATGACAACTGTTTCACCACCATCAATTTATGGGAGTGAGAGCGAGAGAGACAGCCGCCACATTCGGCTCACTTCACTGCCAGAGGGCGTGGCGATCGAGTGAAAGACCGGCTCTGTTGAAGGGTTTCCAACTGCATTCAAGAAAGTCAAAGCATTCGCTTTCTTATCACAAACTTTATTTCTCCTTTTAAAAATTCCTCTATAATAGCTCGTTTGTAAATTAGAAAAGACAAAATTCATATGGGCGAAAGACACATTTTCACTGCAGCTTCACTGCATGTTATAGTAAGTTTTCTTCCTGAACAGAGGAAAATTTCTTTTTACATGTGAATTTGGCGTCGCTTCTCCAACAATTTTCTTCATTTTCAGGCGTGTGTGTGAAAAAGGCACCGCATTTTCCTTCTTCGCAATTATTTCCTCTTTAAATATAAATACTTCTAACGATAAAATTGGCGCTTAACGATTTTTCATTATAGAAAGGGAGGCAAAAAATCCGTAAATATAATTTAATAATACAGAATTTTGATGATAACTACATATTCTCAAAGCTAAGATTGTCCTTAACTATACACAAAAAACTTCTCTCGTCCTCTTCTTAGCTATTCAATATTCAGAAAATCTCAATATTCTCACGCATTCACACACACAACATCATTGTTTCTTATACAAAAAGGAAAGAATTCGCCTTTTCTCTCGTTTCATCTTTTAGTACACACTACACATTATTAAATTAAAACCAGAAATTTAACTTCTATAGAAAAAAGACGCTCCCCCAAAATTCATTCTTTGATTCTTTGCCACCTCTGCTTTCTTACTGGGTTTGGAGGCAAATTGATACATTTCTCCGGTTTGTGCGATTATCGCAGTGATAAATAAGAGCAAATTCATGATATCATCGTTGTTTTCCGCTAAAGTGCACTTTTGGTCTCACGTGTCGCTAGTGATCATGACAGGAGGTGTGTGATGTCAAACATTCGAATTCAAGCGGTTGTCCGTTGTGCCACCTGAAGAGATGCCCCGTGACTTTCACCCCAGAGGAAGTAGTGCTATGCTGTGAGTGCAATATTGAATATAATCTACAACTGTGGACCTACATCTTGGCTATTTCATTTCATCATGTCTAAAAGTTTCCTCCTTCCGGACAGAGATTCACCTCTGCATCTCGACTGAGTGATTTGTGCTAATTAAGTACAGTAATTGGACGCTGCTGGGGTGACTTGGGGCCCTCCGCACTGCTCAACGGACACGCACGCGCCTGTGTGACTCTCCCACCCACACTGGGAAATCACTATCCCTGAGGCACTCGCATTCTGCTCTTCACGATGAATTTATACACTTCCCTTACAGTGGATTTCGCTGGCTAACACGTTATTCGCTGGTCCAGACTCATCGCCTTGCGCGACGTGGGGCTGGTGTGATGGCGACACGCGGACACGGACAGTCCAGCGCATGCAAGGCACGTGATCACCGCACATCTCGCCGAGCAATCTTCACCCGTAGCAGCGGCCGGAGTGCCGCCCGTCTCTGCCTTGGGCGACACGTCGATCACCTCCTGGTTGTCCAGCTGGAACTTCTTCACGAGCGCCTTCACGCTTGGCGGCGAGTCCGGAGGTGCCTTGCGGCTGACTTTGGGTGTCGTTGGCGCGTCCGGGAACAACGTGGCCTGGTGGTGACTGAGTATTAGGATCTTCGGCTCCATCTCTGGCTTGTTGGTGGCACAGGCGACGTTCTCCTTGTTATCACTGGTGTCCGAATCGTCAGACTCTTCCTCCTCCTCCTCCTCTTCTTCCTCTTCTGTGGCTTCTGCCGTGGCGGGATCGCTGAGGTATCGGCTCGGCTGCGGCTCCTTCAGCCACTTGTGTTCTAGACACTCGGCCGCGCTCATCCTGTCACAGGGCTTCACTCGCAGAGCGCTCCTGATGAAGTCAATCGCTTCGGCGGACACGCCCTCGAACAGCTCCTCGGGGAAGGTGAGTGAACACTGTGATATATTGAGGAAGGTCTCCTGCTTCGTGTCTCCGCCAAAGGGGGAGAATCCTGTGAGTAGGACATACGCCAGCACACCCACAGACCAGATGTCTGTCTCCAGACACAGCGGATCGTACTGTAGAACCTCCGGAGCCACGTAGTCGGGCGTCCCAAGGATCTCGCAGATCTTGCCGCCTTCCTCAACGATCCTCGAGATGCCGAAATCACACAGCTTCAGGCCATCTGAACAAAAGAATACCATGTTAAATAGATTTGGACATCCCAAGATAATTTTCTTCCTCACCTTCAACATTCTCACCGCACAGCAGAATGTTCTGTGGCTTCAAATCCAAATGGGCAATGCACTTCTTGTGCAGATACTGCAGTGCTCGCAGGATTTCACGCATACACGTCCTCGCCTGGGATTCTGTCAGTTCACCCACATTGTCCAGAATTGCCTGCAATTCCCCGCCAGTCGCTCTGCAAAGGCGAAAAGTGTTTAAATATCTGCTTCGTTTAACTTTTTCGAAGCTGGAACTTAATCGTAATCACGCGTTATGGCAAAAGACAGCATAATGGCCATAATTGTATTGTGCAATTCGTGCAATTCATAAATAGTTAATGCCGCACAGTACTGATAAATATTTGAAGAGCGTGAAGTGCGTAAACACTCCAAATACGGAACTATAATTCAATCACACGCGAGCTATTCATCATCAGACTTTAATAGTGTTTGATTTGGTAAGATCAAAAAGGTGAAGCGACACCCATTTTTCCAGGGTTTCCTCGTGAATTCGCTGTGATTGTTCTTAAAACAGCGGCTCTACTTAAATTTTTCTCACTGTATTTCGTCTCCATGGCACAAGATCAATTTCTGGGACAAAGCTTCTCTCTCAAGTGATACCCAAAATGAGCTTGTCAGGAAGCCAAAGCTTAATCGCAAAGGATTAACAGACATCAAATAAGACAAGAACATTCCGTCCATTGATACCGGTTTCTAACAAGTATAAATTGATTCATTATAGACAAATTTATGCCTCAAAGTCGGGAAGAAAAAACTCATTATGACACGTGAGCGGACAGAATATCTCTAAATTGTATGTTTGGTGATTTGATCACTAAATTATCGCCTTTTCTCACTCTCTCTGACGTATTTTGAAATTCTCAAGCTCAGCCGAAAAGTCTGTGAAAACGGTCACGTACTTAATGTCTTCTCTCCCCTTTTTCACCTCTCGCGAAGATTATGCAAGTGTTATCAGCTTCTGGGCGAACGTCGCGGCGATAAAGTCCGCGCCAAAGCACGAAAGAGTGAAAGAGAGTTGTCAAGACTTGACACGCTTGTGCGAATGAAGGTGATCAAAACGAGAATTTTCAAATTAAGCTGTCTCGACGTTCCTCGTGAGACGCGCTTTGGCGAGATCGCATTGCAAAACCACGATAGATCATGCATTACTTCACGCCAAATTACCAAATGATGTAGTAACCGAATTTTTCGAGATGAACTTCGTGCGCCTTATTTCAGACTTAATTGATCGCCTCTCGAGTACTATTGCACAATAGGATCTTCACGGGGATGTGCGAAATGGATTTAATATGCAATGTTTTGTACTTACAGTTCGAGTATAAGCGCTGTTTCCGACCTTGTCTCATGGACGCTGTGCAGCTTAACAATGTGTTCTGAATCTGAGCAGAGCATCAGGACAGCAATCTCATGGCAGATATCTTTCGCCCAGCACTGAGCGCGACGCCTGCGCCGCAGGAATTTGGCGGCAAAACTCACGCCTGACTTCTTATGGACAGCCTTCCGTACTGCCGCGAACTTCCCTCTGCGAAAGACACAACAAAAGGGGGACAATCAGGTAAAGAGACATCATACAGTGAAATTTGTGTCCACCTGAAGAGGAACAATTGGGAGATAAATTACAATAAAAACGACTAAAATACGAAATATCGCTCATTTTTCCCCGCACATTCATTTTTTCTCAGGCGTTAAGCAACACGACGATAAAGACAATTATGGCTGGCTCCATCCATGAGCAGTCTTGTGGGCGTCTCGCATAGAGTTCGCGTCGGAAAGTTGACTTTTTTGCAACATGCGTATAAAATCCCATAAACTATCTGCCCAAGTATCAATTCAAGTCAAACCCATTTCATTCATTCAATGACGATGAGATGATGGAGCTGCGATCATATGATCAAACGACATCGAGAGCTTGTCTTGATTTCTCATGATCATTTTTGTCCATCGTTCACTTTATATCAAGTGAGATGATCAATGTTCCAATTTCTTCAGGTAAAAACACCCAACATAAAACTCTCATTGCACGAAAATGGCAAACGAGAGAGAAAAAGTCACTTTTCCCTATTTACTCTTCCTTTTTTCCACTCCTCATCCATCATTAACCGTGTATCTTCATAGAGGCGCGCATTTGTTTCCTTTTTTCTACTACCTTTCTGAGCCTAAGCACTCATTAGTTGCAAAATGTCTCACGCACAGAGTTGAAAATGTGGCAAAATACGGATTTCATCTAGAAATGCAGCAACCTGAGAGATGTGGAAAATGTCATTCTATCTTATAAAATGAATTTCAATGTTAATCGATGGATAAAAGAGTTCTCCCAAATCCTTCATTATTCATCCAGAATCTTAAAATCGGTTTCGATTTCAACTCTGCACTTTCTGCCGTATTGCCGTGCGTCTCAGCAAGACGGCAGAAGAGCCTCGCATCGACCCTTTGCGTGCTGAAAATTGCAATTTTCTTCAATGAGATAGCAAAAGCGATAAGAGAAAAAGGCCACAAACTCGCTTTTTTCTCCCATCGACCGATCTTTTTCCTCCTTTTTTTCTTTTTTTCAACACTCAAGCATGCCATGAATGAAGTTTCACGAGTGAGAAATCTTTTTGGAGATCATTCATGAATTTAATACCGTGTGACACTCCCTCACCCACTCATCGCGGGTTAATCCCATATTGGCTAACGCTCCACGAAGCATCCTCCTTCGTCACCTCACCGCACCGAGATGGACAATCAACGAGAATCGGGAGTGGTGACTAGCATAGATTGTGACTATTGATTAATGCCCTCGATATTCTGACTGGCTCACAAGAGATTCGCGCTCACTCAAGAGGTTTATCTTGACGATGATGCCAATGACCACAAAGGAGAAATCCGTTAGAAAAATGATCATAACATCGCAGACTCTTCTTTTGGACAATATAAATTTAATTTGCACAGAATCATCTTCGCCGAAAATCAATACGTTCCTAACATGCGATGCTCACGGTTAAATGCGCGATGAGATGAACTCTCTTGATCTCTAAGTCATATATTTTGGCAGAAAAGGAGTACAAGATTGGCAGAGTCACACACAAAAAAGAGAGTCTCTCTCTCTCTTTCTCTTCATCACCAAATACAGGGGAAAAAACATGGAATTCTTGTGCAAATTGACTGCAAATGTAAACATCAAGTTTACCTTCTTCATCACCCGCACATATTCCTTGAACTATCGTGCTTGTTCGCATGCAGAGAATTCAATGACTCTCTCGCGCTGTTCGATATGAGAAGCCATTTTTGGATATCCAACGCGGAATTAGTATATCGAAATTGTATCCAACATCAATGATATTTATTGCCTTCTAGCATCTCCTATTTTGACCATCTCTCGACATTATGCATCTCTCAGAAACAATTTTCCTCAGCATAGAGACACAAGAAGGCATTTAAGTGAAAACCTGCAGCTGCTCCCATGGACCTTTTCGAGAGGAGATCATTTGTAATATTAGAAATTGAAAAATTACACGATATCATCAACCAAGACTCCACCATGAGAACCTCGCACACAGGAAAAGACATGGGTTTTGTCTCAGCATTTTACTGTCGTATAATATGAATATTAATTTTTCGCCATCCGAGAAAAGTCTTAGCAATCCAGAAAGACGGCGACATCGACGACAAAACTAATAGAGGAACATTAGTCTCATGCCATGGAGAGATACACACTCGCACAGCATCCCAAAGTGGCCAGAAATGGGTTCTGCAGCCAGCAGCCGATGGCAGAGTGTAAAGGTTAAAGTGGAAGACGTGAATGGTCACAGAGAGAAGGCGGTCAACCAGCTTGTCTCACCAGCAATATATCATTGTACTTAATATTCCTCCTGCCACTCTCTCGTTTTTCCATCAATTGCGGATGTAGAACGCGAGCAACTTGCACAAGTTCTTTGTGCCGCGCTGTCGAATCTCTCATGCTTTCGTTCGGCCAAAAATGCAAATTCCCCCATATATGTAGCAAACACTACAAAACTCATCTCGCTGCAGAAGCATAAAAATTTAATCATTTGACCACTTTGGGAAGAGGGAAAGTTAATTTCCTCGCCTCTAAATGGTGAATCCTCTCGTGAATGAGCATTAAAATTTAATTGCTGAGAATTCTAGGAAGTCAAGTTTTAGGGGGGATTTATCGAGAAAATAAAAGTCGAAAATGAAATTAGAGAGCCTCAAGCTATTTTCAACAGACTTCAAAAAACAGGAAAAATACCGAAAAGTCTTGTTGAATGAAACCTCATTCTTCGCAACTCATAAAGGAAGATCTTTAATACTCGGCAAACTTCATCTAAAAATGGCATCTCAGCAAATTTAAGCTCTGATAACAAAAGCAAATAAATTATTACAGATCTGTTCATTCGCCATCCTCCCCTTGCATGTAATCCCTCAATGTTCTCAAAATGACCTCTCTCGCAGTGCGATAAACAAAAGCCTTGAACCAGCTAATTTAATTTTTCTGACGGATGCATTTCGTCTTCCATTTTCTCCGCTTGGAATTCACATTTTCATATCGAATTTCACGAGAAGCATTTTCCGGTATTTCCCCCTCTGCTTCGGCTGATGAAAAGCCAATGCATTCGGCCAATACCTCACGAGTGATGCCAAAGAATCCCAGCTGGTGTAAAAAAAAATACTTCCACGCACACACGCAGCAAATTGACGGATGATAAAGTGGCGACTGAGTCGCACAGGAAGTGAGGAATCCCACCATGTGGAAGAAAGGCTCGAGAGATGCGAGTTAATTTAGAGTCTATATCGGCATTTTGCGTGGAGAGTTGAATGAATTTAATGGCTGTTTTACGCGCATTCTTTGTGGATTAAAAGGATGGTGTGCGAATGAGTAATCGGTTGGGAAGGGAAACAGAGTGAGACAGAGTGAAGATCGAGCCTTACAAAGTGCATTAAAGTTGTATTTATAGACAATGGGGTGCTATTTATAAGGCAAGAAGAAGACGTGATGAGAGAGTGACGAAAACTATGCATGCAAAGAATTTTCCGATGCGTCTAACCAGGCGGTTACTTCAAATTCATATTCCCTTTGACATGTGTCATTCCCAGGAACCTCCCAATTAATTCACTTCCTTGTTGGCATTACTGTACGACTCTTTGAGGCCATCGCATAATGTGAATCTCTCTCCATGGCGATTCGCTCCAGTAGAGAAACGAGAGAAACATATTTTCCTCCCGTTGAACTCAATAGACATCATAAATAAATTTCGATCTTGCACGGAAAAGAGGTTTTGTTTTCAAATTCCCGCCCATGTCACGATTCTCATTCATTATTTATCAGTATGAGAAGAAATATGAAAGAGAAAAGAAATCCATGTTTGGGTTCTCCTTTTGCCATGCGGATTAGAGTTTAATACACCAAAAATTTTATTTTCTCCCTCAGACAAATGACCAAAAAAGTATTTATACATAGTTTCTCACATGTAATTTTTTTTCTCCTTCTTGAGTCAATTTATTAATCTTACACGAGAGAGTTTCAAACAGTGAAATGTCTCTATTAAACAATTATTTATCCATCGTGAGGGAGGAGATGTTGAAAATGAAGCAAGAAATTGATGGAGATACCATAAAGTTGGGAAGAAAAACACGAGAATCGGTTGTTAGAAGAGAAAATAAAGAGTAGAGAATCACGCAAGGAATTAGGCACAGTGAAAAATTTCTATCAATCCCGTGAAAAGTGTCACTGTTTCACAAAAGCTATGCGCGCATTCCACCATCAAGAGAGAGAGAAGAAAAAAAAAACAGAACACATGAATTCCATCTCCGAATATCCAAATGCCTTTTGGGATGGTGTAACACTTTGTTCTCAATAGATAAGAACAATTTTCATGTCTCCACCAACCTTCCTTCTCTCATTATCATTCTTGTCCAGTGGGTGGCCAAAGTGACTTGCTGTTGGTGTAGGAAATGAAACCTAATTTCCACTTTATGTGTGGAGTGTTGTGAAATGAAAGTCCCTTCCACGCCACACAATCTCTCAGATTCGCTGCATGGTATTCTTGTTGGTACAACAAAGTGGAACAACATTTTTGGAGTCGTTCTTGATACACACTGACGAGCAGCATTGTTCAGATGATGAAGTAATGCAATATCGCACACTGAGAAACGTCATGAACCAAAAATACATACATATTTCCAAATTATAAGCTATACGTTAAAATTGTAGATCAACCGAATTGAAGATCAACTCTCAGATTTACTTTACAACATAATTTTTTACGATGTCAATTTGATTATTTCACCCATTAAATATATTCGCGGTTTTGATGATAAATTCTATAGTCAAAAATGTTCATAATTTCATCTAGATGAACTTTTAATATTGATTTTGAACCTCACTGTATTCTAACTCGCACTCTTAAAATTGTATCCTCATTAATCTGTCTGATTTTATTGGATTTTTCCTCCATGAGGATGACACTTTCCCACCTTGGGCGATCGACACAATAAACAAGACGTGTTCCACTGTGACGATTCGAGCTGTGGGTGTTGAAT